GCTCGCCAGTGAGGGGAAGCATGCTCGAGCCTGCGGCCTCACTCAGCAGATCACATGGCTGCTTTGTCAGGACAGTCATGAGTTGTTCCAGAAGTTCGTGTGTGTGTGTTTCCATTCCACTCTATTCCACTCCTGCAGAGCTCGGGGTAAACCCACATCACCCACAACAGGAAGTGAGGCATCAGTTGGCTGTAATGGCGCTGTGGCATTCCCCAAGTTTGTGCCAAGTGACTCTCACAGCTCCTTACAGAGCGGCTCTATTCTTAGCACATGTGCATGAAGCAGAGCTGCTGTTAGTCTCTGAGCCCCGTCGTTCCTCAGTGAGGCTGAACTGAGACTAAAGCGCTCTTATAATAACTGTGTCGCTGCTAAAGCTACGTGGACCAAACGCTGAGCTGGAACGTTCTCTTGAAGGTGGATGTTTCCATGTTTTCAGAGACAGACGTCTTCAGGTTTCATGTGGATAAGATGAGCGACCTCTGCTGGTTACAGTTACACCCTCCTGCTTTGTCTCTGTTTTAGTCACAAAATGATGGAGCACATTATATGATTTTTTTCTTTAGTCGACTACATGAATGAATGAACAGTTGAATCATGGTGAAACAAATGTATTACTGGAGCCTTTTCATCACTGCCCAGTTCATTTTCGAGAACAGTCCAGTCCTGCGTCTCTATGCCAGCCACAGAGGCTGAAGTGCATCCAAATATATTTCTAAATATCTCGATTTTCTGACTCGGTTTGTCAGCTGTAGAACAGAATTGGGGGAAGAGGACTGAATTCTGCTTTTATAGGCAAAGTTTAATAAGCTACACTTCCTCAGTGACTGTGTGGAAATCAAAGATGGACAGCGATGTTTGCGGCTCTGCAAAATTCAAACTGCCTTCATGGTTTTTATGAATTCAGCCATTGCACGTGTCAGCCCCGTGGGTCCCTGATTGGTGGAAATTCTCGTGCAATCAGCGCACACAGACTCTCCTGATTATTAGAGACTGTTGATGATAAATGTTAGTTGTCTATATGCGTTCTGTTTGCCGTCATCCTAAAAAGAGGCAAAATAACTCAGTGGATATTTCACTTACCCACAGGTGTAGTCCGGTGTCATTAATGGTGGACGGTTTACTTTCACTCACGCACAGCACGAGCCGTCAGCGTTCACGTGTGTTAGTTAAACATGTCTAATATTGTGGCTGTGACCATCAGTGATTACTGAAAAATTAAGTACTCTGTGTGTTACTGACTCGGTGTGAGACGTGTACTGTTCTGGTCATTCCAGCCAACGGTGGGACCTCCAGGCCTCGAGTGCAGGTGTCCTGCAGGTTTTAGATCTCACCCTGGGTCAACACACCTGACTCACATGATTAATTCATTACCAGACCTCTGGAGAACTTCAAGACACGCTGAGGAGTCATTTAGCCGTTTAAATCAGCTGTGTTGGATCAAGGACACATCTAAACCTGCAGGACACCGGCCCTCGAGGCCTGGAGGTCCCCACCCCTGCTCCAGCCGATGTGCTTTGTCCAGTGTTTTCCTTCAGTTACCTGTGTCAGTACAGAGTCTTCCTCCATGGCCTACATGCTCGTCTTGGTATGAGAAGTAGCCACACCCTCACACACACAGCCGTTCAGCATTATTGGGTTTAGGAGGCAGGAGTCTGTCTTTTCACATAGATGTATAAAGTGGGACTGACCCCACTCATGTCGTCGCTGAAGGAGCTCGGCTGCTATTTTTGTGCTGCTTCATTTTCAAGGTTTTGTTTTGGACTCTAAACCCAGAGCTGCTGAATCGTAGTCCCGAGGCCGTCTCAGGACTACAGACCACCTTCCTCTCAGTACCTACACTCTGATCACGTTTATGCTTTTAGCTCATGTGGTAATGTGGAAATAAGACGAGCGTCAGCGCGAGCCGGACAGTAAGCATTACATCATCGCATCCTGGATTCACTCTGAGGGGAGACGAGGAAGAATCTTTTTTTTTTTACCTGACTCCCAACATTTACACCAGTGGTCCAGAGCTGCACCGCATCATCCAATCACATCTCTTCACAACTCTTCTTCACACTCTCTCTCTGCTGGTTACCAAGGAGACAGTGGAGTCTGAGAAGTGGAGCGATGGTTTGGCGTGGATGTGTTTCTTTCTTTCCTTTCTCTTTTGGCATCCTCAGAGTGGAATTTTACCACCTGGACTCCTGATCGTCTGCTATCGTGCTGCAAACGTGCACGCTCGCAGGCCGTGCACGTGCAGCCTGTGTGCATGCATCCATGTAAAAGAGCAGTTGCGCCCGTGGCTGTGTCACCTGATCCCCGCCGTCCCACCTGTTCTCACCATTCTCTCTCCCTCGGTGATCCTGTAACTCCCGGCAGGTCGTGAGCACGCTCTCTCCTGCCAGGAATCTGTCAGCGGCGACAGGAAAACGTGTATTTCAGGACAAGCTTCGACCAGCCGGAGAGTGTCTCGAGTAATGAGCTGACCTTGATCCGAGTGGATCAGTTCAGGCTGCACCGGCAGAGTTTGAAAAGGAGGGTGGGGGTGTAATTAGTTTGTTGAACTGAGAAGGAAAGCTGACATGACGAGCCTTACGGTTACGTCTGTCCTCTCAGTGTGTCGCACCTGCACGCAGGTGAGCACCTTACAACTTTGCCTTCATTAAGAAAGTGGAAACGGTGGCACAGTCACACTTCAAACCTGCGAGTTCAGCATCGGTGAAATGTTTGGGGGCCGTCCATCATCCATCCGTGTGTCACGGACACAGATCCTGTGAGCAGGATCCAAACCGTTTAGTGCCGCGGCAGCGTTAGAGGAAGAGAGTTGGGCATGGGAAAAAATAAGACAGGAATTCAATGAAAAGGTGGAGGCAGACTGACGGATGGACGGGGGAAATGGGATCAGGCGACGGATGTTTCCGGAGTGGGCGCTGGGGATTAGTGCGAGTGTTTTCTGGGTATCTTCTTGCATCCAGAGACCCACCCGGCTGTTTGCTCGCTCGGTTCCCCGAGGTCTCTTACAGCTTTCAGCCATCACACACAGACACGGCCGACAGCTCCCATCGCCTGTTATACGTCTTTATGGACTTCAGCCCCCTACACACACGTGCACACACACACGTGCACACATGCTCCGTGCACACACACACGTGCACACACGCTCCGTGCACACACACACATGCACACACACACGTGCACACACACACATGCACACACACACGTGCACACATGCTCCTTCCGTCTCTGATTCTGTAGGATCTGTTTGCTGCAGTGCTGTGCAGCCTCCTCACCCTCTGCTGTTTTTGCTTTCTCTCTAACCTTGATTGATCTATTTGAAGAGTGGAAAAGAGCAGGAATCTGCTGCGTTCTCCTCTTTCTCTTGACTTTCTCCTGTTTTTGTTTTTTCTTTGTCTTAATGCTTCGCTCTGCACGCTCCCTCTCTCTGCACCTCCTGCTCTGGTGTCAGCACTTCTCTCGCCGTCTTCATGTCGTTCATGCTGGTTTGACCCCCGTGAACCCCGCGGCTCACTGGACTTGTTTTTTTTATTGATACCAGCGTGCAGCTTTGGGACTGAGGTGTGACGCTCGATATGATGCACAATCGCCCCTGAGCAGAAAAACCGTTTTGTGATGGTAAAGAAGCGTTTTTAGTAGATTAAAAGGTAGTTGCTGTTGTGACTGAGACTCTCTTACTTCATATTTAAGAGTTACCTTCATTCTTTTTGTTTGGGAGACTCAGAGGAGGAAGTTTGGTATCAGCAATAAGTTTGCTGCTAACATGTTCCAGCAGCTAACCAGATACAAAGAGATGCTTAATGTGTTGAACAGACACTACTGTGGTGATGCTAAGCTAACTGCTGCTGGTCTTTTTCTTTTCTTAAACCTGATTGGTTACCAGCCCTGTGGTAGCTGGGATAGGCTCCACCCTGTGCTGTGGGTGTTTATGTTAGCTTAGCTTAGCTTAGGTTAGCATAGAAACAAAACAGAAACTTGGCAGCGTCAGGTGGTAACCTACATCTTTAGCTCACCTTCATATCTTCCTTTTAAAAAGGAGTTTTTTCTCACCACTGTTGCCAACTGCTTGCTTGTATGTTGCTGTAATATGATTGGAGGGTCTTCACCTTACAACAAAAAGCACCTTGAAGCAACTGCTGTTGGAATACAAATAAATACATTTATTATAAATAAAGTGAATTGAATTCATGTCCAGGGTTGGTTTATAGTGTTTACCTTTTTGTGGCTGCTGTGACAGCATTGCATCATTTCCCAACTGTATGGTGTTTGAGAGACTGAGTGTGCACACAGGAGTGAGCACCTCATTGATTTCTTTGATTAATAAATATTAACTCTGTGACAATAAATCAGCTGCCTCTCCACTTTCTTTCTGATCGTGTGTCATTGTCTTGGATAACTGATCTAAATCTTTAAGTTCAGTTTTGTGTTACTCTTTGTCCCCCAGTGTTCCTCCTGCATGGTGTTTTGTCTTTGCATCCACACATGCACAGCAGATCGTGTGCATTTCTACTTGTATGAACACACGGCTAAAGATTTACTGCTGCAGAGGCCTGAGGCTGAGCCTAACCCATTTTTCTATATAAATAATTAATGACAGTCAAACATTTTTGAATGTTGCTCACAAATAAGGAGACAGTTTATGTCTCTATAACTAGAGCCAAAAAAGTAACGTGCACACAAGCTGACGTCTAAGACGTTTTGCTTTTAAGGAATGCCATCCTGGAATGATTTCATGCAGGGTCGTTTATCTTTGGTTTTTCTCAGTGTCGGTGAAAATGATCTCTGAAGCTGCTCTCAGGAATATATTTGAGCTAAAGAGCTTGGCTAGCTGTGTTTATGCTAAGCTAATTGCCTCCCGGCTTCAGGTTTATACTCGACATGACACACGAGATTGATATCGATCTTTCTTATCTCGCGCCCAGGAGAGACGCAGATGATTCCTAAAACGTGAAGCTGAGCCGAACATAAAACTAAAGCCGTTTCCTCTCCTCGTGTTTCCACAGATGCAGATACTCGACAAGTTCCCAATTGAGGGAGGGCAAAAAGACCCGAAGAAGAGGATCATCCCATTTCTCCCAGGTGATAGCCTGCTCCTGAGCTCTCGTTATCTGAACAGGCTCCCATATTAATAATGTATGACTGGCACTCGCAGGGCGTCTGTGTGTGTGTGTGTGTTACTGCTGATGAGGCATTATCTGTGACTTTCAAATCTCAGCTGTGTTTTCGTGCCTGTGCGTCTGTGTGATGTTCATTTTTGGATGTGGAGAGTGTCTGAGTCACATTATGATCGTGCATGAATGTGATCGCTGGATTATCCTGTGCTCGCGTGTCTCTGTGTGTGTGAGATCGACAACACGCACACACACACACCCGTCACATTCAGGTTGATGGTGACCTGCAGCGGTGGGCACGATGCTGCCTGTGTGTGTCCGCCTGTGTGTGTCCGCCTGTGTGTGTCCTCCATGTAGATTCTCCAGCTCCGTGTGTGCTCAGGCAGTAAAAGGCTTCTGTGTGTTCACAGCAGTTTATTTTGGTAACCGCTCTGTTTAAGCCCCGCGGCCAACACTTGGTCCCAGCATCAGCTTTATAGCCCCCCCCCAACCCTCCTCATCCTCACACTCACAAACAAAACCAATCTGGAAACCCACCAAACACAAACCTCCCACTTTGCTAGAAAGCCAGTGGCGCCACATGCAAACATAACCGACTGTCTGCGGATGCACGCTCAGCTCGCACTCTTAATGGACTCTTTCAGTCTGAAGTTGCAGGACAACGTTTAAGTTTCAGAGCTCGGCAATAAAAAAAAAAAAAATCACCAGGCGTGCAGTTTTTCTACTGTTTTGTGTATGGAAGCCAAAAAGTGCCAAAAAAGATTTGATTATTAAATAAATGTAAAAACAAGAGTGTTTGGGAGCCCACACGGTGAGTGGGTTTAAATTAGTTTATATTCAAGAGGAGGCTCACGGCCCCACAGCAGGGACTGTGGATACGTTCAACATATAAGGTCCACTTAGCTTCAAACCATTCTCCTGTCGCCACACTGAGCTCTGAGATCTTCTCTAATGATCACGCTGTTTCCCTGAGCCGATTGGTCAGTGAGCGGCTGTTTAATGTGTGCTGAGCTCCTCGTTGGCTCAGAGGCAGCTCAAGCTCAAACACCTGCACAGGACCAGACATGGAGGCTTCAGGTTCTGTAGAGAGAATATGTGCAGTTAGATGGTGTTTAAGGTCAAACTTTTCAGGCTGCAGTGAAACAGTCATGTTGTTGTGGCCTCTGCCTCATTTTTCTGGGATCAACTGAAAAGGATCCTTTACAAAAGTGCGACTGAGTGAAAGTTACTGTATGATCTTTGCATTTATATTCTGGTGTCACTGCATGTCTTCATGCAGCATTTAGCATTTGAAAATGTCTGCTTCTCTTTACTGTGTGTGTGTGCGTGTGTGCGTGTGTGTGTGTGTGCGTGTGCGTGCGCTGTGGGTGTGTTGCTGAGTGTGATGTGTGTGTGTGTGTGTGTGTGTGCGTGCGCGTGTGTGTGTGTGGCGTGTGTGTGCGTGTGTGTGTGCGTGTGCGTGCGTGTGTGTGCGTGCGTGCGTGTGTGTGTGTGGGTGTGTGTGTGTGCGTGCGCGTGTGTGTGTGTGTGTCTGTGTCGTGTGTGGTGTGTGTGTGTGTGGTGTGTGTGTGTGTGTGTGTGTGTGTGTGTGCGTGCGCGTGTGTGTGTGCGTGAGTGCGTGTGTGCGTGTGTGTGTGTGCGTGTGTGTGTGTGTGTGTGTGCGTGTGTGTGTGTGTGTGTGTGTGCGTGCGTGTGTGCGTGTGCGCGTGCGTGTGTGTGTGTGTGCGTGTGTGTGTGTGTGTGTGTGTGTGTGTGTGTGTGCGTCACAGTGTTGACTGAAGCCTCGTTGCTGTTGTTGCTGTAACATCACATTAGTGCTGCTCCAGCTCCAACGTTGCACTGTTTTTGTAACTCACGGGGAAAATGGGACTAAAGTCTGTGCTGGAGGATTCCCCTTTAAACAGTAATTCCAGGGTTCCTCACACAACAGAGTGCACGACCCCGGGCCTGCCGGGGTGGGGGGGTGACACAGCTGGAGCCGGGAGTGTGGACCTGAGGTGTCATTCATTACTGACATCTCCTGACAGGTCTGAGTATTACAGGAAGCTTTGGCTGCTCTGCAGAATCAGCTAAATGTGTATTTTTAGGGATGCTGTGCATGTCTCCAGTATTGTCTCTCCTTTCCTCTGTTGGCCGTCACCTCCATCCTTATTATTTTTTGTCCCCTTTCCTCCCCTTCCAGGCAAAATCCTGTTCCGGAGGAGTCATGTGCGAGACGTGGCCATGAAGCGGCTGCGTTTCATCGATGACTACTGCAGGGTAAACGTCCCTCAGCTTCTCGTCTGTCTGTGGGGGGGCATCCCCGAGCCTGTCAGGGGTCGAGGGTCACGATCCGTGCTGTCTTTCACACGCTGTTCGGGGGGTGTGCATAAAACTTGCACACCCTAACCCTGGAGAACCCACGGGGTCAAATTTGACCCCGTGGGTTCTCCAGGGTTAAACTGACCTCCATTATTTTAAAGTCCATCTCGCTAACGACCTCCTCCCCTCGTTTGCTGGTTTTGTTTCCAGCAACAAAATCAACATAAAAGCGACGAGCGTTTGTAGTCCTGCAGCTCCAGAGTGACTTTCCTTATCACTTCCTGTTCCCACTCTTATTAGTTTTTTTAATCCTCCATCGTGCCCTCCCCCTCTTCCTTCCTTCCTTCCTCTTGGCTCAAAGCTGCACGAGCAGAAGGGAGATTCAGGCTCTGATGTTTGTCTCACGCATAATTATGCAGCAGTATTCCTCGCCCGTGTCAGGCAGGGTTACCCACAGCATTAGCTCAGTAATTGGGACTAGTTTAAGAAGCAGTTCCACACATGTGAAGTGAAGCTGGTCCTCAGCTCAGCACAGGCGAAGGTTCACACAAAAGCCTTTTCATTATCCAAATAACCTAAAGCGCTCCAGTGTTTACAGTTGCTACAGCGAGCTGGTGTTTTTCAGCCAGCACGCCGAACTGTTTACTTCCTGCATCCTGTTTATGAGGCAAACACAGAGGAAGAGAAATTATTCTCCAAGGATGGGCTCCCCGGAGCCTGCAGGGTGGAAACCCGGCCGGCTGCGGGTGCACGTGGCCTCTGCTGTGGATAATATAGGATTGGATGAATGAAACATGAAGGCAGCTCAGACTGTGGCAATTTAAATAAAAAGCCTACGCCGTACATATGTTGTGTATATTTCACGGTCCAGCACGCCGAGCTGTACGAGAGTCACTCCTGCAGCTGGAGCCAGTCCCATCATTAAATATAGATATTTAGACTGACATGTGATCCTGTCTCTGACTGCGGGCTGCTTCTGTGTATGAACAGTGATTGATTGTGTGTTTGTGTTCTGCAGATGTGTAGCCAAGCACACACATGCAGTAGTCTGCATCATTCAGCTTATATTGAATAAATATAAAACAGTTGCTCCAGAAACAGAGATCTAAATTTAAACTGATGTTATTTTTATTTGTAGCACTCAGTGGGAGAAATACAAGCTGCACATAACTCTGCTATATTTCCAGTTTATAGAGATTGAAGTCCAATAATCTGCTGTATGTCTGAGAGCTGGTGCCTTAGACCTGCAGTGTCTCTACTGACCAGCAGGGGGCGCTGACTCTGAATGCCGATGATTCTAACTCTACTCATTATTCTGATGAGTTTATTAGCTCGAGCACTGTTTTCAAGTCTTGCTGAATACAACATAATGTGTGCTTTGTAATTTATTGTCCCGTTTAGAGCTGAGAAAGGAGGAATCAGGGTTTGCTTTGAAGTCTCTCCTGTATGATTCTTTATTAATCTTTTCTATACAGGTCATGGTTTAATATAATAAACAGTTTTGATTTAAACTCAAACTTATTTTCAAGCTCAGGTAGAGTCTGAGGATGAAACTGTGGAGCGTCTTCAGAGAGGCGCTCACTGTCACTCTCTCTCTGCAGGCGCTGGTGCGACTCCCTCCTCAGATTTCTCAGAGCGAAGAGGTGCTGCGCTTCTTCGAGACGAAGGCTGAGGACGTCAACCCCCCCGTGGAGTGAGTGAAGCACACTGTGGACAAACACCGCACACACAGGTTCTGTATAGGCTAATCCGCTGGCTAATTTCTGTAGCTGAATCAGCTTGACACACCCTTCCAGGTGAAAGTGGGTGTGGCTTAGATTGGCATCACTTTTAAAGGAGGGCTATGACATCAGCATTATCAAACTTGAAGTGTCGCTCTTCCTCTCAAAGGTGAAGAGTCGAATGTAAAAGCATTTAAATCCACAGCTGCTCCGTGTTTCAGGGGTTTAATCACATGACCAGCTGGTGTCATGTGTGGCGCCACTGTTAGCTGAGCGTAGCTAACATCAGCTACTGTTTGCTAGCTTTACTGTATGACAATTCCATTGTTTGTCACTAAGCTAAATGTGTTATTAAAGCAGCTGAATAACTAACTTTGTTGGCAAAGTGAAAATATGTCGTTTAATTAGCAACATTTTGATAACCATCCGCTGCATTAGCATGTAGCTAACTGTACACACTTCATGGCAAAGGAAGCTAAAATCATTTAGATGGTCATGCTAATTAGCGTGTAGTTTGTCGTAGAAACACTCGTGTGAAACAGGAAGTTTTTACTGTTTCTTGGTCAAATAAACTACAAATCCACACAGGAAGTTGAGCGTAGCATGTTGATTAGATTGCACAGGTTTACAGCCGAGATGCCGCCACAGGAAAAGCAGCTTGTTTGCTCTGCCTCCAGCCTGGATTAGTCTATGCAGTACACACGCGCGCACGTGCACACACACGCGCACGTGCATGCAGACACTGTAAATTGCTGGCACTAATTGCATTGCATGCAAACATGATGCTAAACGACGGAGTAAATTTCGTGTGTTGATTGATAATGTTCAGCTCAGATGTTCCAGTACTCCCAGCACTCACTGGCTCAGCTCATTGCCTCTCTGTCTGTTCTCGCTTTCTAGTCTATTCCCAGTTCGGCTCTTTCTCACTGAGTTCGTTAAAACCTCCTAGCAGGCCAGGCAGAGAGGGAGGGAGGGCTGTTGTAGGGAGAGCAGTTGATGGATGTGAGTGTGGGAGGAGGAGAATGACTGGTTTCATAGCAGGAGATGGCCCCTTTGGGTAGTTGTTAATTAGAGAACACTCTCCTCTCCAAACCTCAAATGCCAGTATCACAGTATTCACTGGTAATGTGCTCCTGTGTGAGACAGCTGTGCTGCTCCTGCTCCATCCAGGCTCCTCTTCTCTGCACGCCTTGCTCACTGACCTCTTGCTTTCCTGTGTTTGCCAGTAACGGAGCGTCTCTCCTCGCTCATTTTCCTCCTCCTCCTCTAACTCTTCGTGTCTAACTCACCCTCGTAAATTCAAGTGTGCTTAATTGACGAGACGGCTCAAGGTTACAAACAACGGCGCCGACACGGCCGTTCTTCGCTCAGCTTTGGTCCCCTCGCCGTCCACACTCTGTCACACCTGCGTTCTCGTCTCTCCCGTTTTTCTCATTTGACTTCTGCTCCTCCTCCTCTCTCCTGTATGCCCAGTGCATTAAGAAATCCCATTAATCTTGTTGCCAGAGTATGTGGGAGATGAAGTCATACATGTGGAGCATCAATAATGTGTGCAAGCACTGGCCTCATCACACGCAGCCTGTTATCCTCCATCTGTTACACACAGCGGTATGCAGAATTACTTTGAATACTTAATTTAGCTCGTCTGAAACTGAACGGATGCCAAAACAAGAAGCAGCGCATGAAAGTTGTTAAAGGACTTTCAAGGATGTGCGAAACACCGACTAAAAAAGTGCACCAGGCGAAGTCTGTGCACACAGAATGAACGGGGGTACAAAGGTTGACCCCTGAGGAACGCCATGGTTAAGGGGAGCACAGGCGTGCTGCAAACCTTTGCTTACGTAGCGTGCATTTCAAACCTACAGCTGCCACTGAGCAGAGCCACAGTCAGACGAGCCGCAGGGGTGAACAGCTGCAGTTCCTCCAGTGGCCACTTGGAGGTCAGCTCTAAAAGTGAGTCAGTCTTCATAGACTCCATGTATAGATTTCCCCCTTCATAGCAACCATATAGATGATTATGTTTATTATTTTGACTAACTTGTCTTAATTTTGTTAAGACTTAAAGTTGTTGTAGTCCCACTGAGTGACAGGTGTAGCTGCTAGCTCTCTGCTAAGCTACACCTCAGCTAACTGGGTCCCTGAACTGGACCAGTTCATGTGTTTGTGCTGTTGGAGCCTTTTGGAGCATTTTAATGACACCATGTGACCAATAATATGGCTGCTGCGAGGTTACTATAGTGACAGACCTTTACAGAAACCTGTGCTTCAGTTTTGGTGAGTGAAATTCAAGGATTTGAATTGGATGTTACAGAACACTAATTAGCAGGATTTGTTATTATTATTCTTATTATTATTGGAGCTAGCTAATAGCATAGCAGTCCAGCCTCCTCCAACATGGTCAGTGATGTCTTTTAAAAAAGCCACATGGCTGTTAGAGCTGAGGATAAGAGAAAGAAACACCTGCTTTGTTGCTCTGCATGGAGATTCAGTTGGACTTTAAAATGAAAATGTGATTTTTATGGCAGCTCTGTGTTTACAGGAAGCGTAGCTAGGAGAAAAATCTGAAAAGCACTTTTCTTTCCTGCTTTCACAGCTGTAAATTAAAAGGAAATGCATTTCCCATCAGAGAAGAACATCGCAGCACAGTTTCCCTTTTATTTCATCACAAGATGAAGTAAAAGGGGAATTTAATTGTAACAACCAGCTGTTCATCCTTACAGAGGGCTCTCTTTCTAATCTCGCTGCCTTTTACCAAGTCGGGGCGATCGTGGCTCAAGAGTTGGGAGTTCGCCTTGTAATCGGAAGGTTGCCGGTTCGAGCCCCGGCTTGGACAGTCTCGGTCGTTGTGTCCTTGGGCAAGACACTTCACCCGTTGCCTACTGGTGGTGGTCAGAGGGCCCGGTGGCGCCAGTGTCCGGCAGCCTCGCCTCTGTCAGTGCGCCCCAGGGTGGCTGTGGCTACAATGTAGCTGCCATCACCAGTGTGTGAATGGGTGGATGACTGGATATGTAAAGCGCTTTGGGGTCCTTAGGGACGTAGTAAAGCGCTATACAAATACAGGCCATTTACCATTTATTTATAAGTAACCATTTAATTTGGGTATTTCATAAGAAGAAAGCCAAATCAATACATTAATATTTAAAAACAATCAATGTGCCCAGCGTCAGGGCAACGAAAACCACATTTGAACTCATTTTCCAGTGAAAAAAGCAAAGTCTCATTTATATTCATTGATCACGCTCAGATTGAAACCAGCTGTAAATCACAAGTGAATCTAAATGGAAACACACGCTCATTTAAGGTTTATGCATGAAATTTCTCGAACGTGGCTGTGGAACCACGGAGCTCGCAGGATGTGAGGAAGCGCTGCACTTCGGGTAGATTTGGATCAAATGGAGCTCCAACCTCTCCTGGCTGCTCGGTGTCCCTGCAGGCGCTCGCGCCGCCTTAATAACAGGAGGAAATACTCAGGAGGGTGAAGCGCCCGCCGTCTGCTTTAACAAATAGCTCTGCTCGGTTGGTTAGACGTCGTGATCCAGACCACTCGACTTGTGTCTCGGCTAAATTGGATGGGCTCCTTTCATTCCCTACCCATAATGCATCTGCTAAATGAAAATAAACCATGGGGGGAGGGGGTGTTCGGCAACCAGAGCGGCCATTGATTCCAAGCCATGATTGGACGGTGTGTGTTTGTGTGCCACAGTGAGTGCTGTGGAAGAAGAAGAAAGGCGGCCGAGCAGCCGTGTGAACGCACCCTGGTGTGCGTGTGTCGCGTGTGCGTGTGCGTGTGTCGTGTGCGTGCGTGTGCGTGTGTGCGTGGTGGCACTTTCACGAGTCAGGTTTTTAGATCAGCTTTGGACACTCTTTGTTTTCACTGCCTGCTTCACTCTGTCGTCACCCGGAGCTTTTCCAGCAGTTTTCCAAGGAACCATCTGCAGAATTAAACCTCACCAGCAGGGGGCAGCGCTTTACTAGTGGATATTTCTTTGTACCTGCCCCCTGCCTGCCTGTAAATACGAATGTGTAGGGATACAGTGACTCACTGCATGACACAAAAGTACCGTCTGGTTATTTCAGATCTGTTCAACAGGAGTCACAGACTCTGGGACATAAAGTCACATTTTAAAGTTTTTTAAACTAATTTAAACACATACGTTTAAAATTGGGACTTCCGGGCACCTGTTGGCAACTTTTCTGCCAATCTGTAGTCCAGCAGGACCCAAACATCCTCAGCTGATCGAAGGCGAGGCTGCCTGGTGGAGCAAGGTGGCCTCATCCATTTTTATATGGTAGCACCTCTGCAGACTATCGAGTATTAAATAACAAGCAGCAGGAATAAACAACCAACACTCTCAACTAAAACTCTCACACCGGGGCTCTTAGGAGTCGAATTCAAATTTCAAATTCAAATTCAAATTTTATTTGTCACACACACACAACCATACACAGTATGACATGGGGGTGAAATGCTTGTAGCTGTACAATGCCCGACCATTAAATGACAGAAGAAAAGTTTTACAATATTTGCAGTTTACTACAAAAATTTACAAATGAACTTAGGAAATTACAGTAAAGAATGTGCAAATAGCAGAAGAGATTATAAAGATAAGGATTATAAATTATAGGAATTATAGGATTATAGGAAATGTGTGGTGGTGCGTGCGGTGACGTGTGTGAGAGTCCAGTCCTGCACCTGGTTCAGGCCCCGAATAGCCTGGGGGAAGAAGCTCCTCCTCTTTCTCTCTGTTTTGGCCTTAAGGGAGCGGAAGCGCTTCCCAGACCTCAACAGTGAGAAGAGTCCATTGTTGGGATGGGAGAGGTCCATCATAATCTTCCTAGCTTTGGAGTTGGATTGCTTGGTGTAGATGGACAGCAGGTCAGGGAGCTCTGATTGAATGATGAGTCGAAGGTTCAGGTGTGATACCTGAGCAGGTCCTACAGGTGTGTACAGTAGTGGTTTCCTAGCAGCAGC